GAAACAACCTTTTCGTTAAATAGAGGGTTCGAGTATATTCACAAAATTTGAAGTCATAACAATTCAAATTACCCGATCAATGAACTAACTGCATGCGTCTGGATTTGTTTACTCTCAACCTGTAATTAATATTTTAAGACTCTAGATTTTCTTTTTTACCTTTTACACTTTACAGCTTCAACACATTTCGTAACGAAATTTATCAGTTATGTTGCCACGGGGTGTTTATTCTAGGGCCTGTGAAGATAACAAGACAGGTCCTTGTATATTCTAATTTTTTTTTATTTTTGTAGCTTCGAGACCGTTTCGTTAGCACGCACAGTGGATGCTAGAAAAGAAGGGAGAGTGGGCGATTTGGGTGTTTTGGAAAGGATTGAAATATTTAAAGGTTATTGGTTGTTTTGTAATGTAAAAAAACCTGACGTGGTTTGATGCTACTCTGGTTTACAGATTTAATGAATGTAACCGAAGAAGTTACAATTCATAGACCCAACGCTTCGACACTCCTGTGTCGAAACCGGGAGTGTCGAAACGTTGGGTCTATGAATTGTAACTTCTTCGGTTACGCTCATTAAATCTATAAACCAGAGTAGCATCAAACCATTTCTGATTGACCACATGGTTGCCGTGTGAACTTTAATATCGTAAAAAAACCTGTTTAACAAGTCGGCTGCGCGCGATTCGCTTCTCCATCCGCTTTCCTTTTTCCGCCTTATGAGAAATGAACAGAAAGACTTAGCACAAAAATAAGCAGTTGGATAATAAATAATTTATCAGGCTCGTCAAAATATGGCACAACTCGTAAAACTCAGCGATACTACACACCAAAACGTCTGATAAGATGTATTTATTTTATCTTTATATGCATAAGGTGAAACACTGCCTTTCCTTCATTACCACCCGGTAAGCGTTTTCAAATTCTCTCAAGGCTGAGAGATCATTAATTATTTATTGCTGGGCAATAAATAATGAGCGGTCCTCTATAGCCGACCACAGTTTGACACTGCAATTTTCACTTTGCTTCACAGATTCACAGAAATTTACCTCCGTTGTGAAATTCGATCTTATCCAAGGATATTAGACCTGGTTGAAATGAGGAATCTTTCTGATGGGAACGTTCACCGTGAGAAATCTGCGAGCTGACATACAGAACGTCTCCATGAGGCAAAGTCGAGCTCTCGGACCCAGTCTCGCGCGCTTTATTGTTTGCTACATTTGCGCTTGCGCGGTAGTCTATTTCTATTTCCGGTATTACTTAACAGACGAGAGAGATTATGGTGTACCTATTCCCGCAACTATCATTCACGAAAATGCATTTCGACCGCTAAAGACATTATCGCCTGAAAAAATTTCATCCTCGCCAAATGAATTATTTGAGAAATTGCAGAACAAATTGAGGGGTCGAAAATTAAGACCAGGTGTTTTCGGAATGGTGAATAGATACAGTTGGCGAGAGTCAAAGGACAAGAGTATTGAAAAATCCAAGGTTTTATCAATTGCTTCAAAAGGTGGAGGAAGTGCTACAAGTCAATTTGATAACTACAGCAGCCATTCAAAAAACTATACCGAATATTTCAATAGCAGGAAAAATGATTTGCCGTTTGAAAGGGATTCAGGACGTAACGTGGAAAATATTTCAACTCCGGTTCCAATTTCTGAAAAGGAGAACTTTGATCTGGACTTTATAGAGGTAATTCAGGGCGACACTAAAGATTCGTTCGTTTCTCGTCAATTTCAAGATTTCCGACGCCAGTGGTTACGTCAGCGTCGCGCACGCGTAGACTGGCAGAGTATGATTCAACCGTGCGTTGACAATATGGCCTGGGGACAAGTAAAGAGTCACTGGGGCAAACAAAACAGAACTAACGCAGTTACCAGTGATGTGATATTTTGGGACATAAAGCCTGTGGGGGAGTTTAGCAAAATTTTCATTCAATCAAAGACCTCAGAAAATAGAACGAAAATGATTGGTGGAGACACTTGGAGGGTCTACCTACGTGGCCCAGCAAGCGTTGCGGCGACTGTTTTTGATCACAATAATGGAACTTATGAAGCTCTGTTTCTTATCATGGAACCAGGTATCTATCAGTTGACAATTTACCTGGATTATAGTCTATGCGATGGATTCAGGGACCCACCGCGTGACTGGTTCATAAAAGGGAATGCTCAGGGAAAGTATCAGAAAGATGGGCTTCTGGGCCCTCTGGACGACTACTTGATACAGCCCCTTCAGAATGGGAATCCTATCATTATAAATGTACCAGAATCACGGCTCAACATGTCTCTGCTAGGTAAGTAAAAAACTTGGTTACATAACAGGTTAATTTTGCTGGATTGAAACGGTAGGGGAGGGGAGGGATGGTATGTATTGCCACCAGTCGTTCAGATAATGCTTATTTGAACATGAAATTTTACATCCCTCTGAAAAGTCAGCTACAAAGAGGAAATCTCCAGAAAAGCCGCTGTGAATGAATGGGGACTATTTTGAGTGATTTATTAACTCTTACCTTAGATCTCCTTTCGAGATATTTTAGCAACGTTTTTCTTTGCATACTGGTGAAACACAAAGCACGTGACATAAGCACTGCGAACCAACTTCAAAGGAATGTCGGACAATTAACAGTAGTCATAGTTATCAAAATTACCGAGCCACTAATTAACTTACGTGTTTGACGCCGTTTTCTCCCCAATTCACCGGGAAAAAGAGATAAAGAAGTCAAATTTTAATAAAATATTGTAACGGTGACCTCTTTTTCTTTTCCTCTTTCAAGAACACCTCAGGAAGGATCTGGACTCGTGCAAGTACACCTGCGGTCACTTATGGGATGGATTTGGTCGATGGAAAAATGATGAGTGGAAGCCGTTTCTTGATGGTGAGAAAATGACAAAAGTGAGATGATATCAATATACAGAGAGTAAATACTAAATGTGTGTCGAAAATTATCGGGGCCCGCATTGATTTTGCTTTACTAAGCTCGGTCATGACTTGAAAAAAAATTAAGTCATTCACCCACATGGCTTGGTGACCGCTTAATACAGGTTGACCAGTTAAAACAAGTTCCGCAGATGAGGGGTATTATAAAAAAAACGATAAAAAACGCCACCTAATGCCATAATTGACAACTTAATGTACAGAATGTCCCTCCTGAGTTTTTCTCGGGCTTCGCTCTTGGAAAACTCTTCGCATTTAAGAACAGATAATGTCCGCGAACAAATATCCGTGCATACTTTCGCGCCATGTAGAACCTATCTTTTTATATATCGGACACTAGTGCCCAAAATCAGTCCACTTAAGACATAAATCAGACGCAAGTGTCAAATCCTACACTATTATTTAAAATCGGACACTAGTATCTAAAACCGGACACTAGGTAATCGTAGTAGTAGGACTGAGTGGAGTCCACCTCGGTTTGAAATCATATGAGTGATTGACAAAATCGGGTGACTGCGAAGAGGAAGTCCGATTTGTTTATTACGAGTACAGTTACAGACAAAATTGGACGACACGAAGTCCTGTTACCAATCAATTACATCATGACTCAAGTTGAGAAACAAACTAGCCATCTGTCATACTTTTTCAGAAAAAACAACAGTTACCTCGGCTAAATGCGCGACAACAGCGTTACAAGCACGAGGCGTTCACTGTCCTATTAAAGCTCAGTTTGGGATGGTGATAATCAACCACGTTCGAGAACTTTCTTGTAGTTTTGATGATTTCCAACCTCGGACACGAGTGTCTCAAATCGGACACTAGTGTCTAAAATCAGACACTACCTTCGACTCAGATATTAGTTTCTTAAATCACACATTGGTTTTTTAAGTTTGTTGAGACCAGAATAAAATTATATTTCTAGCACTCCGACAGTCTTCTTCCCCTTCAGGTTAGCGCTGATTTCCACAGAATTATTGGGAATGGATAAAGAATACATTTTTCGTTCCGTGTTAGCTGTTTAGGGGTTCGATGATTTCAATGCAATGCATGTGTTTTTATTATTATTGTTTCTCGCTTAAAAATAGATTCTTATGACTGGTCGATGCCACAACAGTACCAGCCGGCTGGTTTTCTTTGGGTGTACGGGGATTCTCTTGCTGTCCGCTTGGGGAACTCTGTTCAGTCGCGTGGCCTTTGTACCCGTCTTTACTGGAGATGTTCGCAGAGTTACAACTGGATATACCCTGTGATGAGCGAAGCTTTAAGTAAAGAACAGAACGATGATTTAGACTTCTCATCTGAAAAGGTTATAGGAACCATTGTAGATGTTTTGCGGCGGCGCGAGATGCAACGGAGGGACAGTGTTCTACTCATAAACCTCGGAATTCATTTTCCGATTAGTATCAATTTTACAACATTCCAGAGGCTTGTTGGAGACCTTATAAATGTCTTGAAGGAAACGAAAATCGACTCACAGGGAAATAGGGTTCCAAAGTATCCTGCAAAGGTTATTTGGAAATCATCGACAGCTATTCACAAAGAAAAAGTGGAAATAAAAAATAAGACTAACTGGAGATTCTTTACTACTCAAGTAAGTACATGGTGGTAGTAAAAAAAATTAATTCTGACTCACTGTTTAAGGCTTCATTTAGCAACATAATGGACACAAATCTTATCCCATATAGAAAAATTATCAAGTCAGTGCCGAGATTATTGGCAAAAGATTAATCCTCCCGCCTGGCAATTGATCACAAGTGATGTAAACCTTATCAATTTTTTTTAATCAACCATGCAGTATGCTCAATCATTTTTTTTTCCAGCGAGTTCTTCTGTTCAGCACCTACGCCATGTCGGCCATGTGTCAAGCGGGTTTTGACGTCATAGATGTCTATCCAATGACCGACTCGTATCCAAGGGGTACGCTGGATGAGGTTCATTATCCCGACAGAGTTTTCCATCTAATGGAGACAATGCTGGAGAAATACAAGACAAATGGCAATATGCGAGTGAACATCGGGGAGGGTGGTATTAGAAGATGTCTTGGTTAGAACAAAACTATTCTTGTACTGTTTCTTACGAAAGATAATGGTATTTGTGTGATCGAGATTCCACCGCCTTGCTTTTGGGAGACTGGTACGTGACTATGTATCCGTGCTATCTTCCAGGCCTTCTCGGTCAACCATCAAGGTGCCTTTTTGTTTTGGAACAAAGAGACAACTGTTTTGCTATGGAAAGTGGGGTCTTCACATTATTGCTAACTGATTCAGTCGTAAAAGCGACGAAAGGTCCACAATATGAAGTCAATAAGGTTACTAAGAGGTGCTGTCATGTGAAATCTGGCATGAGCCGCAACTAGCGCTAATGAAAACTAAGAACTTTCGGCCATCAAGCGATTAAACATAACTACCAAACTGATGCGTGTTAGCCAATCACAACGAAGAAAACTTCTTTAATGAAAGTTTAATAATTTGAACAATATCTGGACTTTCGAAAGTTAAAATCTTGCTTAATATGTATCAATAGGCAGCGTACGTGCTCTTACATTAAACTTTTCATTCTGAGTTTCTGGTATTCGTCATTAACTCAACTAACGCGTATTGAGAGCATGACATCATTGATTTTGGTAGTTGGCTTGAATTTGAAAAATAAATCATAGACCTAACTTTATCAAAAAGTTTTGTAATTTCAGTGATGGCGAATATTTTTTAGCATGGCTGGTTTCATTGCTCTGGCGTTTACAGTTCACTGACGCTAACTGAAAAATTAAATGGCTTCCTACGAAATTGCACAGCGACGTGCGTATACTACCCTTCCGAAAAAAAACTCATACCTTATATGTTATAAAAAAATAATCACAAAATGCAACACATCAAGCAAGATTTCTCCAGATTTGCCCTCGAAGCTTTGCTCCTCGGCCAAAATTTCATTTCACGTACAATATCTCCGCCGCGGACATTATTGCTAATAAAATCATCGCTCAAAGAGCGAGAAAATCGCACCCGTAGGTAGAGGAGTCAGATTGTTACATCTTATTCAATAAGTGACATAAAAGCATCACCAAGCCATCCACAGAACGTTGATAACTACCACAACCGACAACTAGCTTTTCACGGTTTATTACAAAGGGGTATCTATAAACAAAACGTCCTCAAACGCCCTCGGGTATTCATAAATTATGTCTGTTAGTCTGTTAGACTTGAACGAATTTGAACGAAAATGTATTCAAATTTTTTCCGAGAGAACTCTGATTTACTAGATAGGGGGAGAACCCCGAATAGTCATTTCAAAGACGGCAGAGGAAGTGCGAGTGTTACCCCTGTTAGTACTCCATGCTTACCTCTGTTTTAACTTTTATTTTATTATTATTATTATTATTATTATTATTTATTATTTATTTATATTTTTTTTGTTTAAAGAGAAACCATGAGAATGATATGAAAATATGTACCACATCCACATGTGTGTTTTGTGTCAAAGTCGTTTAAATTATTTGTTACACCCATTTTGAAATCATTGTTGATCCTTGTAATCTGATTGGCTCGCACTCGCGTGCTTAATGGGCGAATCGCACCATTTTTTTAAAAATAAATCACAGCTATTTCCCAACTAATGAGGAACTTTTGCTAAAATACGACAAACAATCAGATTTTAAGGCTTGTTTGAAGAAAAAAACAAATTGCAAGAAAATGAGGTGACTGGATAAAAATAATTTTTGCAACTTTCTACAAACCAATTACTGGATCAATAAAATATACTTGTATAGACTTTAAAATCCTGCATCTGAGCGACTGAATTTTGCGATTTCAAAACGGATGTAAGAAAGTGGTGTCTAAACTTCGTGTTAGCGGACTAAGCCTGTTGTGCGCACTCGTTTTATTTTGAAATAATGCATATGATTTCAGACCTACTAATTTACATGAAAAAATTACGCTCTTCTTATTGGCTGAAAACAAGTGTACTCTCCTGTAACACGAGTGAAAAGTTGTAACACGAGTGCGAATTACAAATAGCACGTGCACGCATTCAAAATTTCGTATGGTCGAGGGAATTCTGGGAGGCAAACCTCTTGCAATCGTCTGATGACTTTTCGGCAACAATGCTCTTTTCAAACCGGAATCGACTTTGCTGAAGTTAAAGACAAAATTCCTTACCAAAACGCCAGTGTCCCAAACAAAAGTTTGTTTCATTACACCTTGAATAACAAGGGAGGCTTAAGATCTACCAGACAACTAAAATCTTACAAATCAACCGACTCCCTTTAGGCAAGGGGACCACAAAATGAAAGAATTACCGACCTACTCCGAACAACCCGAACCAAATTTCCAAATATACCTCTGCCAAAGAAAATACATGTCTCGTATTGGCCATGTCAGACACAAGCTGGGAATAACTCAAACCCATTCTTTGCAAAAATTATTTGCGTGCAAGGCCATGCCAAAGACTGCCATTTCAGTCTTTTTTTTCGTCAGCTGGTACATCTCCCAATTCTTCTCTTGCTATCATCCGTTCCTATTCTTCGATTTCTGTTAGCCTTGTAATTCTCTAAAAGCGTTTCTAAGGTATTAAACACTTTTTTTGGATAGTGAACGACGTCATTTGCCAAAGTACCCCCCGGATACGAATCTGTCATTGGGTATACGTCTATGACGTCAAAACCCGCTTGACACATGGCTGACATGGCGTAGGCGCTGAATAGAAGAACTCGCTGAAAAAGAAATAAAATAAGACAAAATAAGATGATCAAACGTTTGAATTTAAGACTGCTATAATTTTATGGTCATCGATACAGAGATTGCCTTTCAATATGCACAAACCTGCGGTGTAAGGAATCTATTATTTGTTGGGTTGAGTATCGCTCCATTGTGCTTACACAAAGCTGTAGTTGATTTCCAAATGATCTTGGCCTTATACTTTGGAACTTCTTTGCCTTGTAAATCAACTTGTGTCTCTTTCAACAAATTTATTACTTCTCCGATGAGCTTCTGGAAAGTTGTAAAATTGATGTTGGTAGTATAGTGAAGTCCAAGGTTTAAAAGTAATACACTGGAAGGCTGCTGTAATTCATTCGTATTAAGAACGTTTCGAATGGCTTTCAAAACCTCCCCAGCACGGAAGTCGAGGTTATCGTTTTTCGTCTTGCTCTGCTGCTCGTTAATTATTGGATAGAGCCAGTTATAACTGTGTTTGCATTTTAAGTAGAGCTTTCTACATAGGGCTCGAGAGCTGACTGAAAGATACAGACGAACCGCTAATGAATCACCATACACCCAAAGAGTTCCAGAAGAGCTGTAATTTGCTGGTAGAGACCAGTTGTATGATTCTGTAAGAAGGCAAATATTCAATGAAGTAAGGAATTCTTTGATTATTTACAATACGCTTTGCGTCTAGGTCTTACTATCAAAACTGATTACAAACCAGTGCCAGCAAAGTAAATATATTTGCTTGTTCTTCCAATTTGGCTTCGCCAATGACGGATGAGTTCTTACCTTCAAGGTATGGCCGCCATTTGTCATTCTTCCACCGACCAAATCCATCCCACAAGTTATTACATGTCGAAGAGCACGACTCTAGAGAGTGAAGTTTGTCTGTACAGAACAAAGTTGCAAGAAAAAAAATTAGAAATTTAACTTATACACAACGTTGTTGAAGCAATCTGAGATTCCTTTGGTTTTCTTTTACTTTGCTATGTGATTGGTCCGCGCTACTTTCTCGACCAATCAGATTTAAAGCCAAAACCAATCGCAAATTGGTAACGTGTTTCCCGCGCTTGAAGATGTCTGTCTATTTTCACTTTGAGCGCTCATTGGCTGCTCATGAATATTGCCTTTCATCTGATTGGCCGTTGTGATTACGTTGATATCGGTTTGCGACACTCAATCAAAAAGCGCTCTAAGCGATAGATTTATTTGTACGGCGCTTTCGCGGTAAACGCTGCCAGGTTATTACATACCGGCTAATGGTAAAATTGTGTTTTCCGTCTGCCAAGTTACTAACCATCTAATGAAAAGTTCGTCTCTGCCTTTGTTACGTTTATCTCCAAAGGCCTTCCGCTCTGAAGGGGCTGGAACAAGTAATCATCCAGAGGGCCTAGAAGACCCTCCCGCTGAAATTTCCCTTGAGCATTGCCCTGAATAAACCAGTCACGTGGTGGATCCTTGAATCCATCGCACAGACTATAATCCAGATAAATTAACAGCTGATAGATACCAGGCTCCATGATAAGAAACAGAGCTTCATAAGTTCCATTATTGTGATCAAAAAGAGTCGCCGCAATGTTTGCTGGACCACGTACGTAGACCCTCCAAAAGTCTCCACCAATGACTTTCGTTATATTATCCGACGTTTTTGATTGGATGAAAATCTTACTATACTCTCCCGCAGGCCTGATGTCCTGAAATATTATCTCACTCGTAGAGGCATTGGTTCTGTTAGGTTTTTCCCAGCCGGCCTTCACTTTTCCCCAGGCCATATTGTCATGACATGGATTGATTATGGCTTGCCAGTCCATGCGTGCTCGGCGCTGACGCACCCACTCTCGACGGAAACCATCGTATTTATTCGCTTGGTTCGTTTTTTTTAAAGAAGGAATTGGCGGAAAGTCCATCAAATCGTCGTATTTATTCGTTTTGTTCGTTTTTGTTAAAGAAGGAAATGGCAGGAAGTCCATCAAAGGAGTGAAAACAAGGGTGTATGACACCAGGAGGATAAAACAGAGGACGACTGGCCTTATGGGAAAATGTTCAAAACAGCAAAAACGTTTCATTTGCGTTGTAAAACTTGATTTTTCAATTGAATGAAGAATTCCAGATGAAACTGCAAAGAAAATAAAAGTTTTTCTTAATTTAACTCATGTACTCATTTTGTTTAGATTTGTTGTTTGTCTAGTTTGTACTGTTTTTGTTACTTTTCTTTGTTTGTGTGCTTGTTTGTCTCAAGTTGCACTGAGAGGCCGAATAAATCGTGATATTTACAATACATATGGCCTCGGGACAGCATCTGTCGCCCCGATGTCTTGAAAGTACCAGGGACCTTAAGCAGTGAGACGGCAACGCCGAGGAAGACGTCAATTAGAAAATGCGCTCGAGGAGGCTCCATAGGGTTTTTCTTCAATGTTGGCGCGCGCGCCAGCGTACAGTTTTTCGAGAAAATTTTTATGTTTCCGCTTTTCTAGGTCACTAAAAGCCATCAAAAGGGCGATAAGAAAGGTTCGGACTATTTATTGCTGTAATAATATTATCAAAATGACTTACGTCATTAAGCTAAGTCTCCTCAAAAGGAAGCGCTCGGCAGTGATAATTTGGCTTTGCCTTCGACTTTCTTCGATTTGCTTCAGTGAAATCTCTCAAAATTTTCACAATTTGTGAAATTTTTCCTGCCAATTATTTAAGCGCCGAAAAAAATAGGGGTAAAATAGGGGTACAAAGGCA